GAAAAAGTAAATAAAAAGTAATTAAATTGTTGTTTCTTTGAATAAAAAGATAAATAAAGAACAAATAAATTAATATTAATTAAAATAAATATACGTTTGTGTTTATACAGCAGAGCAGGGTGTACTAGCGACCCCCCTTTATATACACACACACATATTTTCTTCTTTTCATAGAAAAGACAACAAAAGCTGTCGATACACCGCAAAAAAATAAAAAAAAAATAAAAGCTGCAACGAGTAACTGAAACACAAAAAAAAAATTTTATTTTTTTTTTTCTTTTTGCCCGCGCGAGTAGCTGCTGCTGCTGCAGCATTCATTTATTATAAATAATAAAATATAATACATATTTTATTGTATATAACTCTATACATATTTATTATATTATAAAGGGAGAAGAATTTCGTTCTTGCTGCTGCAGCAAACGAACAACTGCAGCAGCAGCAGCAGCAACAGCAGCAGCAGCAGCAGCAGCTACGGCTGCTGTTGCAGCAGCAGCAGCAGCAGCAGCAGCTGCAGCACTGCTGCGGGTGCAGCCGTCGGCGCTGGGTGTGTTTGTTTTGTGTAGTATTTTGTTTAAATTGTTGAATAGTGTTTTGTGGTTTATTTATTTAAAAATAAAAAGATTGCTGGGGTGTATGTACACCTGGTTGCGGCGCTCGTGAGGTGAGGGAGGGGTAGTGTAGTAGGGCTGTTGGCGTATGCGTGTGCGTTTCCTCTTTGTCTCTTTTTCTTCTTTTTGTGTCTTTTTGTTGTTTTGTTTTTATTTTAAACTCTAAATAAATCAAACATTTCTTCTTTTCTCTTTCTTCAGGTGTACGTACACCCCAGCTACTCTACGGGGGCCTCCTGCTGCCCCTTCCCTCTCCCCACAGCATTGTGTTTTCTTTCTGTTTTTGTTTTGTGTTCAGAGCGGAGCTGAGCCGCCTCCTTTGCCTTTTGTTTAACTTTATAGGGTTTTTGTTTAGGGCCTGGAGGCTAGGGTTTAGGGTTTAGGGTCCAGCATCTAGGGTTTAGGGTTTAGGGTTTAGGGTTTACGATGCGTGCCCTCCTGAGTCGCGGGGCTGCGCTGTGGGGCCGTCTGAGCCCATCAGCTGCTCGCTGCAGTGTGTTTCCTCGTCGTTTTTTCTCTTCTGCTGCAGCAGCAGCAGCAGCAGCAGCAGCACCGTCAGCAGCAGCAGCAGCAGCAAAGTCCTCTGGCGCAGGAGGGGCACCAGCAGCAGCAGCAGCAGCAGCAGCAGCAGCAGCAGGGGGTGCAACAGGCCGCATATCTCAGGTGATTGGTGCTGTTGTTGACGTGGAGTTTGACGGTCCCCTTCCCCCTATCCTGAACTCTCTAGAGGTTGTGCTGCAGCAGCAGCAGCAGCAGCAGGAGCAGCAGCAGGAGAGATTGGTGCTGGAGGTTGCGCAGCACTTAGGCGAAAATGTCGTACGCACAATCGCCATGGACGGCACGGATGGCCTCGTGAGGGGGCAGCTCGTCAGAGACACAGGAAACCCTATTCAGGTTAGGGTTTAGGGTTTAGGGTTTAGGGTTTAGGGTTTAGGGTTTAGGGTTTAGGTTTTTGTGGGGGGGGCGGGGGGGGGGGTTTAGGGAAAC